TTCTTGTTGGAAGAGGACATGACATTAATGTTAAGATAGACTTTTACTTGGCTTTTAAAAAAGGTCAGTTGTAGACTACCAAGTTGGCAAAGAAAGTATGCAGCAAAGATACTGTGAAAATAGATCTTGGGATGCCTCTTGCTAGGACTGCACTTATATTGAAAAGTTCCCAAAGAACTGGTAGATCTGAAGAACACAGGCCTAAAGTTATACCACAAGAGACTACGATCAGTACAGAGATAAACCTTCCGATTGGTGGCACCGAAGTCAAACCAGACAATGACGTGGTTATATAATGCACTGGCAACTGCACGGTCCAAGAAGTAAAGATGAATCTAAATGTAGCCCAACGAAAAAAAAAAGCGAACGCTTGAGCACTATATCAATGCCACGTATTACAGCATGTCAGACCAACTAACATGAGGTATTAAGAACCATTTAATTTCATCTGACTTTGTATACAGGAAGCCTACAAATAAAGATGATTATATCCATTAATACTCCGCCCAGTGACAAAATCTGGCGTTGTAATCGGCTTCTTCCTTAGAGCACTGAGGATATGCAGCCCTGAATTCCTTGAGGATGAGGTTGCCTATGTAATTAACTCCTTCAGGAAACAAATATCCCAGAGGCTTCCTACTAATCTTCAGAAAGAAGGCGGAGAGTATACTCAAGGTCTAACCCTGCACCTTCTTCTAATGGTTCTCTCATATTACCGCCGTGTAACATTTCCCAGGCGATCAGTAGATACTTCGGCAATGCAGTGAGAATCGCCAGCACATCCGGGAATAAGATACACGACATGATACGAGACAAGAAGCATCCCGAAAACAACCCTAACAGTGCTGTATATCGCATACCCTGAAGCAGTTGCGGTACAGCATACTTTGGTGAGACAGGCCGTGGTTTCAGCACCAGGATAAGCGAACATCGAGCTGACATCCGTCACCATAAAACTTCAAAAGCCTTGGTGGTACATAGAGATGAAGCTGGACATCTACCCGATTGGAAAGAAACGAAAATAATCCATGGAGGATTGAAAATACAGAAAAGTTATGGAAGCTGCTTACATCGCGACGGAGAATGACATCAACGCAGCATCGGGCAGATTCAAATTATCCAAGGTCGCGGCAGCAATTGAGAGGTCACAGGCGTCAGTTAGTTCGTCAGCTCACGTATCTAGTTCCTTTGATGTATGCATTTCTGACGAAGATATAATCGAAACCGGTCAAATACATCTCTTGTATTATGAAGATATTCATTCGCCTTCATACCTTTCCTACATTTGTCAACATGGATACGTTTCATATTGGAAGATACTCGTACTATCTTAAATCTACTGTGTAAAACTACCGTAAACAAAGAGCAGTGTTTTGTAAACACTAGCATCAGCATACCAATGTAATATTCGAACAATATGTAGTATAAGGTAGTGGCAGAGTTGGGTAATAAAACCTACATGAAATTATAGAATACAAACCAAGGCAACGTTCTTCTATGGCAATGTGTGTGCAAATACTTCCCAATGGTGCTAGGGAATATATACCACGGTGTTAGGTTAGGTTGGATGTTGGGTTAGGACGTTGTATAACAACCACGTGAATCGTTGAAAGCAGTGGATTTCATGCAGAATATCAAAATTGTATCGAAAGTAACCCACTACCCTCTTCTAAATATTAACTTGGGGATCTTCTCTTTTCTTTTTATGTATAGTACCCTTGGGAAGCATTTGCACACATTGCCATAGACGAACTTTTTCTTGTTTTTTATTCTATAATTTCTATGTAGGTTTTATTACCCAATTGCCACTACCTTATACTACACATTGACCTAATATTTTTCTGTATGGTGTATGACTTACATTTCTATTTCACTGTGCAATTACTGTACTATGCCAAACATGTGTAAATCTGTAAACACAATTGGCCATGCCTGAGGAGATAGCCAGGGTGGTAAATGAATGAACTTTAAACTTGTCTACGGAATTTTACATCTAAAACGCCTGTGTTAATCTTACAATGCGTCCTAACCAATAAACCAACCTAACCTTAATACGGGATTTATACACTACGTTCTATAAATATCCTAGCCACGGGGCCCTGCCTCTTAGATCCCCGTGGTATTACATGCCAGAGGGACTACACCCCCTGGACCCCTGTGGGTATAATACAACAAGACTTACATGTTCCCTAGTCAAAGGACTGTCCTCTGGAACCCCATTTCGTCTAGGGTCTGAAGTGCTTGGTTTCTATTTTTCGGCATTTAGGGCATTTCATGGATTCAATTATCAAGCTGTGATAGAGTTAATGTCATCGAGAGCGCCGTACCCTCTAAAGACGAAATCCCAAAACCAGATCATCTTACGAACCCAAAATACAAGCCTAAATTTCCCTACCCTCTTTATTCCCGAGAGAGGGACAACCACCCCTGCAACCCCCATATATCATTACTTCGTACCAACTTACAGAAAACAGACATTAAGACCTGGCTGAGTGAAGTTGCTGTGATATGTAGCGGTTATTTTTCGTCATTCGCGGTAAATACGAGGCTGAAGCAAAATTACCTGTGTATTACCTTATTTCTTATACTCTAAGATAAGGAGTGTCCATCCCCCCCCCCCCTCTGTCGCTCTCGGTAACCTTAAACCCCAATAGAGTAATAATACGTAGGGTTATCAGTAATCACTATTACAAAAATAGTATTAGAGCTTCAGATTTGCATATCTAATAAGGAATCGCACCAGTAAAAGTATTAGGCGCGGGTTTTATCCATCAGAGACTACCCGTTTGAGAATTAACTGAAGGATGCTTTTTATCTAATAAGAGACATTTCAAGTGCTTCAGTAATTCGGAGAACTTAATCAGCCGGTGCCGACAAAGGCGTTTAAATCACTATCGTTAGATGACGCTTTTATATCTCCCTAGCGATTTGCCGCTAATTATGAGAAATCTCGTGACTGGAAGAAAAAAAAAGAAAACAGTTGGCATATGCCAGACCGTGGAACAGTACTTCGTCTGAATTCAAAATCCAAGTTGGCAATCGCAGCCTTTCAATACGATCCCTAAGAAAAACAATGGTCTCTTCAATAATAAAAAACACATCCATTCTAAACCTTAAAAAACGCACAAAATACGAATGATGGTTAGAAATGGTATAGATGTATAACCTCAACCCTTAGAAAAACAAAAATCTACGTCATCACATGCACATAATGCTCACCAGGAAGATCTTCATGGCTGCCGTGTCAGAGGTATCCCAGATCCCAAATACAAGAGGACTTGTCTTGCTAGACCACACCCGTACACCGACTAAAAGTCACCCAGTACAGAATGTGATCAACCCGGCTGTATGCTCTTGCCTTCGTCGCCTCGTGCTTGAACAGCCGTTGACCGTTACACCAGCAAATTGCCAATTATCACGAGGGAATCAGTTGTTGGTTTGTCTTGATGATCGTAACTCTGTTCTCTCGTTTTTTTCCTTGTTTGTTGTTTTCTGTTTGGTTTTCTTTTCGTTTTTTTTTTTTTGGGGGGGGGGCTTTTCTTTTTCAGTCTTTTGTTTTATCTTTAATTCGTTTCTTTCCTTTTATTTTCATGTTGGCACGGTGAAATTATATAATTCTTTTGCACGCACGCACGCGCACCCACTCACTCACTCACTCAGACACACACACACACACACACACACACACACACACACACACACACACACACACACACACACATACACACACACACACACACACACACACACACACACACACACACACACACACACACACACACACACACACACATACACACGCGCGCGCGCGCGCACACACACACACTTTTATAATATATATTCCAGCCCTGTTGAAGATGGAATGAAAATAAGCCAGATACATTCTTTACATTCGAACTTTTGTTGAATCTCATTTATTTTTGTAGGATTTTCTTATACTTTGGTGTGCGTACTTCGTGCGCTTATTTGCAATTCAGAGTAAAATACCAGTTATGCCTCTAAAAGACTTTGTTCAATATGTATATATATATACATAAATACATACACGCAAACGCGTGAGCGCGCACTCTCTCTCTCTCTCTCTCTCTCTCTCTCTCTCTCTCTCTCTCTCTCTCTCTCTCTCTCTCTCTCTCTCTCTCTCTCTCTCTCTCTCTCTATTTGTATGTATGTATATATATATATATATATATATATATATATATATATATATATATATATATATGTGTGTGTATATATATATATATATATATATATATATATATATATATATATATAAGAGAGAGATAGAGAGAATGGTTGTGTGAGAACCATCAAACAAGTGGACACCGTAACAACCCATATACTACTTACTTCTCTTTCCCGTAACAATAGCGGCAGTATTAATGGTGGTATGGTGGTAATGGTGATTAAAGTGGTAATACTAGCCGTAAAAGCACCAAATACTAGCCACTTATCATCTCTACCATGTTTTCCCCTACCCCCTACCCCTTCTTCTCTACTCTCTTCCTCTTCTTCCCCCCTAAGAAAATGAAGTCATCCATGAAAATTTCCCTTTTTATATGCATAAACTTTCTCAAGTTACTATGCAGCAGGAAATATATTATCAAGTTCATTCACTCTACTAAAGGATGAAGCTTACAAACTCTTCCTTGTTATATAGAATATGTAACAGCTTGTGCCCAGACATTTAAGGGTCCCTTTATAATTTTAGTTATATATATAGACATCCACTGGCAGTGAAATGTTGCCATCCTGTAGGTTTGCCACTGATTGGAAAATATAATATTCTTAGGAACTGAAAATGTCTTTCTGAAAATCATGAATTATTTGGCTCTTTAGAAGTACTAGAAATACTGACTTCTCACATCAATCCCCAATTATCTTGTGTATATTTAATAGGGGAAAAATACAACTGCATAGAAACTATATTGTGCCTATGTTGCTTATAATAATGCCAGATTTTTCAAATTTTGTGAAAGGAACACAAGAAAACTTCAGAATGCTCTGTACTTTATATTATCTATTATGTATAGTATTCATACACAGGTACATTACATGTTAAATAAAATTTACATGATATTGCAATCTTTGGATTATACCAAACAATCTTTATTCATGAAACAAACTTAACACCGCTCTGAATTACTATGCATGAGTATTGTGAAACTTCCTTATACCTATAGTTATATTAAAAAAGACATTTACTGCCAAGTCATTAATATGGGGTTAAACATGTTTCTGTCATCACTGCATAAATTGTGCACATATCATATCTAGGAAATTTATTACAAATAATGCATTTTCATTCTAATAGTTTTGGGAAAAAAACTTACAAATTACACAACCAGCATTATTATTTTATTTTCAAAACAGTACTAATAGGAAAATGGCTAATACATATCCATGCGATGAGATATATACTATATATATATATATATATATATATATATATATATATATATATATATATATATATATATATATATATATATATATATATATGTACATATACATATACATACATATACACATACACACATTCATACATACACACATTCATACATACATACATACATACATACATATATATATATATATATATATATATATATATATATATATATATATATATATATATATATATATATATATATATATATATATATATATATATATATAAACACACACACATTACAATGTTTAACATATTTTACTCTTCATTCTTTTGCAAAACGTTTCAAATTTCGTAAACATAAACATGTGTACTGGTATATGCATTAATAACTAAATACATATTGAACTGTTTTAACATTAAGGCTACAATAAAATTAAAAAAACACAAATATTTCATTCATACTTGGGCTATTCTTTTCAATCCATCCAAACAAAATACATTTTTAAATAATTTTGTTAAGTAATTTTGTGTTTGTATATCTCAGATCGAATCTCACCCTGCTATTATTATCAATGATAAATGTTACTGGTCTTTTAATCTTAATATCTATCTTAAAAGATTTATAAGCTTATTGTAATGTTCTCCAGTAGAGTTTCAGTTTAATTTATTTTACCAGCCTGTTATTTATCAGCAAGTGACAAAGAAAGATAGCAAGAAATAATGAGATTCTTACCTTTTTGGCATATGCTTTGAATAAACACAATTCTTGTCTTTCATATATCCTGTTACAAAAGTATATCAGTTTAAATGAGAAAAAAAAATGCACAATACTTGAATCAACTGTTCATGAACTCAAACTTTTGAAATAAGTATAATATCCAACACATGCAAAAACAATATTGAAAATTTATCCTCTAGATGCAACACAAGAGATTGAGAGATTGGATTGCACAGTACATCACGACTGTTTATTTATGCAGTTGAAATAACCAATCACTATACATGTTTAGGGCCATCAATTAGGAGAATATTATCCAGTGTATATTTATTTCAGTATAAAAGGACTTTTGTGCATACAAAGAAAACATCTTGATTTATTGTGTTTCTTGACATACCATATTATAAAGTTATTTTGTGTAGTTTGTTTGCATTTTTTTTGTTTTTGTTTTTGTTTTTTTTTGTGTGTGTGTTTTTTAAAGCATTTAATTGAAGTGCTCTTCTTATGACACATCTTTTGTGTAGGCAGGTAATAGCAGTTTGCAGAGCTCTTCACACAGAGTAACAGTAAGTCTTAATTATCACCTTATTGGAAGAAGCCAGTGTTAAGGTGTCCCCAGCATCCAGATTGGAATTTCTGTTGTTGTTGTTGCAATGCATTCTATGCAGCTATTGTAATGATCATCTTATGTTGGTTTCCATTGCCTACTCACTGATTCATGAACTTGCATATGTAAAAACATATTTTCCTGTCTGGCCCACACGATAACTACTCATGAAAATTTTAGAACTAAACTCTATACTGTCTGAGACTGTACCCCATTCCTCAAAGCCTATTTGCTCCCTTCTTGTATTCTGCGCTCTGTCCTTTTGCTCTGAAAGCTAAATAGATGATAATTTGAGGAGGAGTATGGGTTCGTCTTAGTTAAAAGAAAAATATCTGTATAGCTCATGAGAACTGTTTTATAGTTTTTTTTGTTTTGGATTTACTTTAGTTATTTTCTTTCTTAGTGTAGTATTAGTAGTTTTGTTATAAAATGAAGTGAAGTAAAGAAAAATCCTTCCCTTAATCTCTTAAGCATTTACATCAAATTTCTTAATTCACAATTAAAAAAGAAAAACACAAACAAAAATTATTTGTGACCAGTTTAGCTTGTCAATAATTATACAGCTAACATCAGACCTATGAAAGCTGACTTTGTAACCACTCTACTGACAAGCATTAACAACAATCTGATCACCAAACACCCAATTTCCACCAGCCATAATTTCATTTCCTTCTGCAAAGCCCTTGGTCAACCTGCGTCACTTTTACATCATGACTGACCTTGCTGTGCTGAGAGCCTCGACTCTTCTTGCCTCTCACCCTTCAACAACTGGGGGATCTTTCAGTTACATCTGCTACGTCCAGTCTAGCATGGTGTAACAATCACCTCAAGCTGAGGGTGGCTTTGTCTGCCACAGAAGCAGTTTATCCTCTGGTCACATTCATTTCTGCGTTAGAGCCATCTCAGGAATACGCATCTCGCCACCAGAGAAAGTCCTCTCCTAAGTGGCGAAATGATCTCAACACAAGAATGTGACAGGAGTAGAAGTTAATGTCTAAATTTAAAAACAAGAGACTCGGATTCACGATGGAAAGAATGCAGAAGTTTGTTAAAGATAACTGCCCAAATTGGGTACATGCATTAATAAGATTGTTCTTGGAATATCGAACCAATCCTTTTCCTACTGCTATTCTATCTACTGTAGGGAAAACAGTCCCAATAATTAGAATGCAAAATAAGAATCGGAGCAGTTGGCATCCCCTTGACAATCTGATAAACTTGAATACACCATGTGTCTTTTCCACTTTCGCATGACCAATGAAACCAGTAAAATTCCTGGTTCCCACATTTACCATTAGTCCATCTTCCTTAGCCAGGTGAGCAGTACCGTGACTTACAATATTGACCACTGTCAAGGGGATCCCAAGCTGCTCTACTTGGGGGACGATTCCCTAACTTGGGAACCTGTTGTAGAGAGCGTAAGTCAGGTCATATCCCTGGAGGCGACAGATTTGCACATCATCAACATCATAGTCTGAGTATTGTGGGACACTGTAGTTATCCTCCTCAACACCAATGCTTGCACCGTTCTCCTGTAAATGGTACGATATCATATTATATTAAGCTAAGAAATAGACTGCACCTTAATTATATCAAGTGATAAAATATACATTTAAAAAAAAAATCATCAAAAACAAAAGCAAGACCAAAAAAAGGAAGAAAATAGCAATACTTAACAATACAAACACAATCACAGTTAACTATATTGACAGCCTTTACTTACAAGACTCTTGAAAAATGTGAGGACAAATTGCTGGGGTCCAAATGTAGACACAACACGAGAAATGAGATCCTTGTATGACTTCTGTGGGATGTTGGTCTCAAAGGACACATAGGAGAACTCAGGCTCAGGTGTAATGTGGATAGTCATGTATCCACCCTGTGAGTGGGAGAATACAAAGGAAAAATGTAATCATTAAGTGAGGGTTAAACCTACTCAAGCAGAATAAGTAACTTTTAACAAATTCTTTCATGTTTTTTTATAATCTTTAGAAGTTAAGGCAGACAATACCCATTAATTGTAGTCTTATATTATCATACTGTCAAGAATTTTACAAAATAATTTTTTTTATGCAAAACTGTCTAACAATTTTGAACTAGGAATATTCTTCCAAAACTAATATAACCATCACACCTATAATTTAGTCTACATATGATGATCATATATTACTTGACTCAATGATAATGACACTGAATGGTAGGACCCACCGGCACACTGCGCATCAGTCCATTCATGGAATATCCACATGGATCAAATTGAAAGTCATCAATCATGACATCTGGGATGAGACGATCAATGCCCGATTTCTGAAAAGAAACTTACTTTTAGAAGTACACAACTATATTGCATGTATAACAGAACTCTACAAAAAATTCAGGAGATATTGCTATGTTGTGAGATGTTTTGAGAGTGAAAACTCAACTCTGTGAGATAAGGTAGTTAAAATCAATACTTGTTTCTGAAAAAGAAAAAAAAAGAAAAGAAAAATAAATAAATAAAAAAAAGGTATTTCATACAAGTATGACATTTCCACCTTTGCTTAATTTACTTTTACATTTCATAATTAAATAGTACAAGGTAATATTTGCCAAAATACCCAGGACTGATTTTTGTACAACAGCATGCATACAACAGTTTCCAGTCTGCATGATACAGACACTAACACTGGTTATTTCCAAGAAGGTGACAAATGGGTTTTACTATTACTCTTTGTGAAGAGCTCAGCAAAACTGCTATTACCAAGATTGGATAACCTTCACACTATCACAATGATATCTTTGGGTAAACTTCTTTGCCTATTTGAAGCTTGCTTGAAAAATCTGAATAGATATAACAGCTGCATAGTTAGAAGTCAGTCCATGTCTTTAGTTTTATTTGCTATAGTACATTAGAATGAGTATCATGCTATAGATATACACAGGACCTGAATTTTACCTTTGTGGCCTCAGCTGCCGTAGGACAAACTTCTTTATAGAACCATTTCATTTTTTCCGGGTCCAAGTTCATCATCAGCACCTCTAGTGTCTGATCCGGTTCACGGTGTGCTTTCCCCAGCCTATAGTGAACATGTGGAAGATAAGTAAGTAAACATATGATCTTCAGCTAATATATAATGAAATAGGAGAATCACCTCTATCACTACCACTTACATACAATTATACTGATTAGCTTAATGCATGTGCTCTACCAAATGGTAAAGGTCAACTCTGCATCTCAAACTCCTTCATCTTTACATAAAAAGAGTGTTGATTTAGTCTGAGTAAGTCTTACATCCAGACATGAATCTCCTCTAGTTATAACAGAAGTCAAACAGCTTTGGACTTTCTACAGATATGAAAATCTGTATCAAAAAACCTTCTACAGACCTATTATGAGGAAGATTCTGACGAGCAGCATTAGGATGATAGCGAGAACGTCCTGGTGACACAGTGTACAAGTACCAGCAGTCAGGACGGTTGACGCTACCCATGCAGTAAGCTCGACCCCCTGCAACAAGCAATTGAAATTAATATTGTCACTCTATGTCATGTAGATTAATAGTGAATGCTATTTATTTAAAAGCATAATAACAAATTTTTAAGACTTTTGCAAATGCATGTAAAAAAAATCTACCATTTCCTTTAATTAAACCACAAATATCTAGTTTGTTTTCCAAAGGGCATTCCCTCATACCTGGGTACATCTGATCCAGGATGGACACCTCCTCCTCAAATGTACGATGAGGAGACACCTGAAGTTCTGGCCTCTTGAAATTCTTACGGGTATAGTAGAGGTCCTGTTCAGGAGCAAAAAAAGGTCACGAGTCAGAATCAGTCGACCCATTTTGATGCTTACAACAAGGGAAGGTGCCGATCCCAACCCAGAACAAGACTGTGAACCTTGTTCTGCCTTTGAAACGATCACAATATGATCCTTTGGCTTTCAGAACAAGGTCCACAAGCCATTCTGTACTGGTCCCCTCACAGAGTTGTAGCATCGGGATACTAGCGCTATCACACAGGCCTGGAGATGCATTAGAATACCTTCACATATGAATTAAATATCTTAATTTGGATGGCATCCTAATAACATTCTACTTTAAATGTCGGAATGTGAAAATGACAATTGGAAAAGCAAATGACAAGAAAGAAAATTTCAATTTTGCCAAATCAAAGTGGTTTTATTTTTATTTTACAGTTTAACAGCAACCGACAATATTTCCTCCAAGCATGTGCAGCCCGCCAGAAAGCTTTACATCCAGCATGATGCACGGTGCACCGAGCATTGCCTGCACTTCTGCCAGATTTCAGCCCCGGGAGCCTGTTGCCCCCCCCAGGGGAGCGCGGGACCGTGCCACACGCTGTATTGACCTCTATGGCTCAAAACGGCCAGCCACAAATTTCACCCCTGGGGGTCAGGCTGCAGTGGGATTGCCACTCACCCAGCTCAACCTACAGCAACAGGATTCAACATATTTTCATGGCCTAGTTTTAACCCCGAGATTTTATAGTGCACAGGATTCATATTTTACCAGTGATCAATAGTGAATACCACAAGAAAAAGGGTTATGGATTACTTACTACAAAGTTAATAAGAAGACCACAATATGTAATATAAAAAGGACAGTGTTTGTATGTTACATATTGTAGTACTTTGTAGATTCTGATAGTTTACAAAATATGATCAGATACGACAAACTGAATTTAGTAACTGATCATAATTTGTAACAGTATTGAAACAAAGAAAGCTAAATTGACCCAAATATATTTCAATACCAAGAAAAAGGAAGAAAAAAAATGTCATTCACACTATATAGAAAATTAAAGAAGTACATATGAAAATAGGTAATCAATAAAATGAAAAATAAAAACTCACTGTGCAATAAAATCTAGAAGTAGAATAAGAAGCTTACATTACACTTATATACAAAATCCATGAATTATCAATCTATTTTGGTATCTGACCACTAGTTAAGAAGTAAATAGATAAAATGTGTGAAAACATGATATGTATTTCTTTTTTTTTAGTTTTGTCACAAAATAGATATTGGTATTGCTCATTTATCTGTGACATTGTAAAAAGGTGTCACATCATTCTTACATATGTAATGAGCAAAAAGAAAAGAAAAAAAAAAAGGAAAAAAAAAAAAAGACTACTTTTGGAAAAACAGCTTATAAGGTGGTGGCATTCCCCCGCGCTGACTGAGCACTCAGTGAAAACGAGAACTCATGTTATGGGGCAGAAGAACAAGTAGATGACGGCATAATACCGGGCCCGTGGTCGCTCCGCCCTACTATGTGTACCGGCTCACAGGGTCACCAGTGGCCTGCTGCGATGATGCCAGGGATTTGTTTGGTCTGGCTTGCTGCAGAAAAATAGGAATACACAACGGTCATTACGGGCTACGGTACATTAGTACCCGGGAAGCTGACCCGTGTGGCGCCCTCCTTTACCACGCACCACCAAGGCTTGCATTTCACGAAGGAATACAGTTTTGAATAGTTTAAGTTTGTTTTCTCTTTTATTTATGAGATTTTTTTTATTCTATGCATTATACAACTTTTTGGTCTCTCTCCCTCTCCTCCCTTTTATCTCTCTCTCTCTCTCTGAAGTTTGTTTATACAACATTTTCATATCTCTCTCTCTTTCTCTCTCTCTCTCTCCCCCCCTATCTCTCTCTCTCTCTCTCTCTCTCTCTCTCTCTCTCTCTCTCTCTCTCTCTCTCTCTCTCTCTCTCTCTCTCTCTCCCCCCCCCCCCTTTTGCTATAGTCATCATATACCAAAATTGTTCATATCCTTCATGTTCCATGAAATGCAAGGTTGGTGGGGCGTGTGTGACCGTTTCTCACCTGTGCTGGGTACTGGGCACAGGGGACTACCCAGGGGGCATAGGGGAGCCTGCTCACTCATCACAGCTCTTCACTCTTGTACACCACATAGAGCCATCTATGGTGGGTGTGAATAAGCTACAAAAATAACTAAACTTCTTTTCTCTCTCCCAACATATAGGGATTTGACCACTTGGGTACTGTACGAGATGACAAGAATCTTAGTGTTGGAGACTCGGGGAAAAAAAAAAAAATGTCGTAAGCAGACCCCATACCTGTCCTACTCCTGAGAGGAGGTCCGTACATATAATTACTTACCTTGCTACTTTTGTGTGACAGTCATTACTCTTAATCTACATAATCTTAATATTCTTTGAGCTACTCTCTTCATTTTTATTTACACAAACCAAAAGAAATTCTAAGATGTATGTTTGAACCGTGCTACACAAAAAAAAATATATATATGATATATAAACTTCCTTACAGGACAGAAAATAAACGAGAAAAGTCATAACATGGAAATGACAAAATGAATCCATTTGTTAATATACTTAATAATACCAATAAAGTTAAAAAAAAAAAGTATTTCAAAACCATTAGATTAATGACACCAATAAAAAGAAAAGTAGAAAAGTATCTTCAAAATATATAAGTCAAGGGGAAAAAATAAAATATAAAAATAAAAATAAAAATATACATGTATATATATTAATATATATAAATATATATATGTATATATATATATATATATATATATATATATATATATATATATATATATATATATATATATATATATATATATATAAATGAAATAAGTATTGGATAAGAAAGGGAAATAAATGTAAGTATAAATAGAAAAAGGAAAAATAAATAAAAAATAGAGGTAGCACAAGTGAGAACAAATACTAAATGTCTGAATCACTAAACAAAAACAAATATTCAAAGTAAGATTGACACAGTTACAGAATTTTTCATTCTTTTAAAATATTACACTTCTACTATATTCTATATGACTTACAGTAAAAACATAAACCATGGAGACATTTACTCCATTTCCTAATACAGTACATATATATACATATATATTTGTATATATATATGTGTGTGTATATATATATATATATATATATATATATATATATATATATATATATATATATATATATATATATATATATTGTGTGTGTGTGTGTGTGTGTGTGTGTGTGTGTGTGTGTGTGTGTGTGTGTGTGTGTGTGTGTGTGTGTGTGTGTGTGTGTGTGTGTGTGTGTGTGAGTGTGAGTGGTGAGTGTGAGTGTGAGTGAGAGTGTGAGTGTGTGTGAGTGTGTGTGTGAGTGTTAGTGTGAGTGTGAGTGTGTGTGTGTGTGTGAGTGTATGTGAGTGTAGTGTGTGAGTGGTGTGTGTGTGTGTGTGTGTGTGTGTGTGTGTGTGTGTGTGTGTGTGTGTGTGTGTGTGTGTGTGTGTGTGTGTGTGTGTGTGTACGTACCTATATATATAGATAGATAGATATTTTTGTTTTAATTAAGTATATGAAAATTATCATTACATACCATGAAATACTAGTATCTTTATAATAAATACATAAAAAAAAATCATAGGAAAATTTAAGCTACATCTATCCATCATTCATCAATCTACTAGTTACATTAAACTGGTAAAGGAAATATCAAGAAAGTTAAACTGCATTTTTCAAAAATAATTGAATTAAAGTGCTTTAATAGAAAATAATTCTATATGAGATCTTGTTGACAATATAGATACTTGTGCAATATTTCTTTGAAAAAATAAGAAAATCACATTGAAAATGATGGTTAAAACATAAGAAACAACCTATCAAATCTAAAAGGTTAATAATGTATTCATCTTACAGTCATATACTACTCTTATAGGATACCAATATGAACATGTACATATACATATACACATATATATATATATATATATATATATATATATATATATATATATATATATATATATATATATATATATATATATATATATATATAAAGTTAAATATTTAAAATTTAACAGCAGACAGTACTTACTACTTATATGAAAACTATTTATATATCTAATACCATTAAGTATGATATACATCAAAGACAAAATCTATACAGTGTATAATACAAAAAAAAGCTGGAAACATTTCATAGCTTACCTATAATACGATATCACAAAATAATGCAGGCATGAAAAAATAAATATGTAAGTTTTACAAGATGTAAATATGCTTTACCATATAATCACAGATAGAAATCAAGACATAATATGGATGCCAAAATATTAAGAATTGGCTCACATTAAAATTATATCTGAAAATTCTGAGGAGAGGCGATTCAGCATTAATTATTCTAATGATGTGACAAACATATAGAGATAACATCTAGGTGGACTTACATGAGACATAAAGCAGTAATAATACATTACAATGCAAGGCGACATACACATTATACTTAAAACACAGTAAGACTAAAGTTAACATATAATATTCTTTCATTAAAAAACAACAGAATTACAGATCTTATAATAATGGAAAAAAAAGTTATCATATAAAAACAACAAATAACATTAACTATATACAAGTAATATGAACTCTGTTACATTCCATTCCTTTTTTTTGTTCTCTCTCTCTCTCTTTCTTTTTTTTTAATCTATACATTTCAATATTTTTGCTCCCTACCTGGACTGAGTCATATCCTGCATACTCCTTCACTAATGACATCAGGAGTGGCAGACAGCACAAGGGAGTCGTCGTTCCACAAGTTTTCAGGATAAATCTACGAGCAGAGATGAACATGCTTGATTCACTGCAAAAGAAGAGAACAAATGTATAATTTATGTTCAAATATATTACTTTTGATATCTTTACATACTAGTAAATATATATATATATATATATATATATATATATATATATATATATATATATATATATATATATATATATATATATATATATGAGAGAGAGAGAGAGAGAGAGAGAGAGAGAGAGAGAGAGAGAGAGAGAGAGAGAGAGAGAGAGAGAGAGAGAGAGAGAGAGAGAATGAAAGAGAGAGAGAATGAAAGAGAGAGAGAATGAAAGAGAGAGAGAATGAAAGAGAGAGAGAATGAAAGAGAGAGAGAATGAAAGAGAGAGAGAGAATGAAAGAGAGAGAGAGAGAGAGAGAGAGAGAGAGAGAGAGAGAGAGAGAGAGAGAGAGAGAGAGAGAGAGAGAGAGAGAGAGAGAGAGAATGAAAGAGAGAGAGAGAATGAAAGAGAGAGAGAGAATGGAAGAGAGAGAGAGAATGAAAGAGAGAGAGAGAATGAAAGAGAGAGAGAGAATGAAAGAGAGAGAGAGAATGAAAGAGAGAGAGAGAATGAAAGAGAGAGAGAGAATGAAAGAGAGAGAGAGAATGAAAGAGAGAGAGAGAATGAAAGAGAGAGAGAGAATGAAAGAGAGAGAGAGAATGAAAGAGAGAGAGAGAATGAAAGAGAGAGAGAGAATGAAAGAGAGAAAGAGAGAGAGAGAGAGAGAGAGAGAGAGAGAGAGAGAGAGAGAGAGAGAGAGAGAGAGAGAGAGAGAGAATGAAAGAGAAAGAGAGAATGAAAGAGAGAGAGAGAATGAAAGAGAGAGAGAGAATGAAAGAGAGAGAGAGAATGAAAGAGAGAGAGAGAATGAAAGAGAGAGAGAGAATGAAAGAGAGAGAGAGAATGAAAGAGAGAGAGAGAATGAAAGAGAGAGAGAGAGAGAGAGAGAGAGAGAGAGAGAGAGAGAGAGAGAGAGAGAGAGAGAGAGAGAGAGAGAGAGAGAGAGAGAGAGAGAGAGAGAGAGAGAGAATGAAAGAAAGAAAGAGAGAGAATGAAAGAAAGAAAGAGAGAGAGAGAGAGAGAGAGAGAGAGAGAGAGAGAGAGAGAGAGAGAGAGAGAGAGAGAGAGAGAGAGAGAGAGAGAGAGAGAGAGAGAGAGATAGAGAGAGAGATAGCAGATTGAATTAAACCAGTCCTCTCTTCAGTCCTCCCTCTCCTCTTCCCCATTATTCTTCTATTCAAGACCACCCTTTTTTCTCATATGTTCCTCTTTCCTTCTTTCTCCACCTATCTTTCATTCCTTCCTTCCTTCGCTTCCTTTTCCTCTCATTCCCTGAGTCCCCCTTTTACTCTACCTCCTTCCCCCTCACCATTCCCCCCCTTCCCCCTCCCTCTCCTTGTCCTCTCCCCTCCCCCACTTCTTCATTTACCCTTCTCCCCCACTCCATTCCTCACCTCCCCCCCCCCACTCCTCAGCCATTGATCCAGCAGTCTGCGCACTGCTCCCCCCCCCCCACACCTCTCTTCCACCCCTCAACATCGCCTTTCAACTTTCATTCAAAATATTTCCTTCGACTTTCCACTGCATATAAATCTTAAGTCACATACTGGTAAAATAATTATAAGATGCGACTTATTTTCAATGTTAAAATCCTCCTGGTTTGGCGGTTGGGATTAATTATAATCGAATAAACATAACAGGGCAATGGGAATGTGGATATTTCTAACCAATACCGGTTTTGGGTGAAAAAATTTTGTGATTCATTTCCGGTCCTTTTCCCTTGTAGGCCATCCCCCCCCCCACCAAGACCTTTTTCAGATTTGGCAACACTGTTAGCCGAACTTGCCTTGCATGCTTGGTATCACTAATTATGTAACAATGTGATTTTTTTTCCCTTTTCCTTATAGACAGTACTTTTTTTTCGAGAGAGGGGGAATACTGCTTATATGGTAATTACTGTAAATTATATATGCGTAAAAGAGGCCAAAAACAATCACTGAAAAGGTAGAGTAGTTTCTGATTTGGTAACACTGTGGCTTTCAGACTTGATAGCTTCATCTGCAAACATGAAATTTTTTGGTCGTGATTAACGTTCTTGTGCTCCCAAAGGACAAATACAATTTCTATCTACGCACGCATGCAACAAGCAAACAATGGCACGTGCTCACGATAATAAAATTTTAAAAAATAAATAAATAATAATAATAATAATAATAATCCATAATTCTAGGCGCGCAGATTGACTTGCACACCAAAGATATAAGCAAAGAAGAAATATATATCTGCCGTGTCTAAAACAGGGTCTCTCATACAACACAAAAGTTACATTGTAAAAACCGTGAATACATGACCTTAAAAAATAAAAAAACTAATGTTAAGAAAGACGGGAGAGAGGGAGGGAGGGGGATGAACGAACGAAGGAGAAAAGGAAGGAAAAAATAGACAAAGAAGAAGGGCGAGGAGGAAAATGGGAGAGCAACGGGAATAACGAGAAAACGAAGAAGTGAGGAAAGGGATAAAAGGGAGTCAGGTATTTTGTGCTTTTATACAACAACCACCTCCCTTATCATTCATCGGCCAAAATTTCGCAGACAGACGTAAGCATATACCTAGAGACACAAACACAAACATAGCAACGTGGACAGTAAGATAGAAATGAATCAAAATGGATCCATTTTGGTTTAATATACGTCTGAAGAGGATCTCCTTCTCCTCCTTCTCCTTTTCATTCTTCTTCTTCTTCTTCTTCTTCTTCTTCTTCTTCTTCTTCTTCTTCTTCTTCTTCTTCTTCTTCTCCTCCTCCTCCTCCTCCCCCCTCCCTCTTCTTCTTCTTCTTCTTCTTCTTCTTCTTCTTCTTCTTCTTCTTCTTCTTCTTCTTCTTCTTCTTCTTCTTCTTCTTCCTTCTCCTCCTCCTCCGTATCAGTCGAGGCGAGGATACAACTGACAGGTAAGTGATGGCCGGTGACAGGTTGATGGAAATAATTTGAAATAAATATATAAATAAGTGAGGGAATGAAGGAGTAAATAAAATGCCATCACCATTAGTGCCTTATCAATGCCAGCTCGTGTGATCCATGCTGATGCTTAGTAAGGTTATCTGGGAAGGTTACGCGTCTAGTTCAGTCAGCACTTAAAAAAAGAAAAAAAAAAAAAAATCCGTCTGCGTAGTTGGTCTTTTTTTTTTTATCGAGGAATGTGTTTTGTTCCGTTTTGTCTTGTTTTTTTTTTTTTGTTCTGTTTTTGTTAAGTTGTATCAGAATGTATTTCGTCGCTTATAGAAATTAGAAAACAAACGAGCTCTCTCTTTGTAAATGGAAAAGACACACTCGGTCTTTGGTTCAGTCATTCACGCACGCGTGTGCACACACACACACACACAAGCATACACATACACACACATAAGCACACAAACACACACGCACTTATGCTCTCTCTCTCTCTCTCTCTCTCTCTCTCTCTCAGTCACTCACGCAGGTTTCTTAATGCTAACCCCCCCCCGTCCCCCCCCCGCACACTTCGAGGGGGATGACAAGGCACACCCAGAGCGCCCTTGTGTCTGTTGCTGACGCTAGTAGGGGAGAGAGAGCACAGGGAAAGGGAGGGAGCAGGGGGAGAGGGAGGAGGCAGAGGTGGAGCGAGGGAGCTAGAGCTAGAGTGAGGGGGTTCGCAAAGAGGAGGGGGAGGAGGGGGAACGACCAGGGTATATGGGGGAGGGGAGGCGGTTCGGTCCACATCGCTGGCCTGGAGCTGACAGCCAAAGCACTTGAGAGCTAGTTCTGACAATGGCTGCAAATTGCGAGGTCCATCTTCATCTAGTGCGAAGACGACCTTGGCCGCCGTGCATGCATGCTGTCGTGTCAATAACCTTCTGATAAAATTACCAAGGTTTCGGCAACGCTCGGGCCTCCTCCTCGGCCTCATACCCACTCGGGTGGTACGACGTGGGAACGTCAGTTTGTCTCCAGACATTTCAAATTCACGGTTCTGTTGTTAAGGCTAATTATTAGGAACGACGAGAAGGGAGACTATTAGTAGGCGGGGTATCTGCCTTGCAAAAACAGTATGAATAATTTTCCATGTGATCATTAACATTCTCATTCCTGCACCACTCTTCTTTAAATCTTTGTATTGAGTGTTATTACTACGAACTAAATCGCTCATTTACATCGCGTTTACATATACGACCATCCACTATATCACGTTTACATATACGACCCCTCAGTAATCTTAAATGTATCATAACGCCACGCTTTCCCGTAATCATTGATTTATTGCCTAGTTCCTCGAATTAATGTGTTTGTTAAAAGCACACTAATCACGGAATATTGTGAAGTAATCCGGAAATGATAACGTAATTAAAAGCTAAAACAGATTTTATACGTCAAGCTGCCAAGAGACCCGGCTTTGCTCACGAATTACATCATTGATGTTAGTAGGTTTCATAATATTTAGAGCAGTAGTAAGCGTTGCAGGAGCAGTAATATATATTTTTTCTTGCTAATGCTATTCGTATTATCTTTTATTGTAATCACCATCATAATTATCATTGCCATCAATACTCTTAATATCAGTACCGTCATTATGTTTCATATCATCTTGATCATGATCATCAATGTAATGTTAATTATGACACTGGCATACTCTTATACTCTGACAGAAAAAAACATATTCTCATCATTATTACGCTTGCAATAATTTCACAACCATCATTATTGTCTTCATCATCAATATCAATATCGCTGTCATCATTATCACTATCATAATTACCATCATCATCATCATCATCATCATCATCATTCACCGACACCCTCACACTGGCCCCTTGCATCCTTCCCTCCCCCCCTCCCTTCTCTGGCCCCCTCCCTCCTTCCCTCCCACAATCCTCCCTCTTCTGGCCCCTGTTCCCTCTCCCTCGCTCCCTCCCTTATCCTCCTCCCCCCTCATTTACTTCCTTCTTTCTTCCTTCCCTTACCCTCCCTCCTTCTCCCCTTTCTTCCCTCCTTTCTCCCTTCCCTTACC